CCAGCGTCTGGTGAGGGAAATCGCTCAGGATTTCAAGACCGACCTGCGCTTCCAGAGTTCGGCTGTTATGGCGCTGCAGGAGGCAAGCGAGGCCTATCTGGTTGGTCTGTTTGAGGACACCAACCTGTGCGCCATTCATGCCAAGCGAGTCACCATCATGCCTAAAGATATTCAGCTGGCTCGCCGTATCCGCGGTGAACGTGCATAAATTGGTTTTACATCTAAGCAAAACCGAAACAAAGGCTCTTTTAAGAGCCGCCTCAAAAATCACAGAAGCGCTGAATATTTTCTCCGCTGTACTTGGTGTCATGTGGGGATTGTTTTTTGTTTTTCACAATTATACATTGTGAAAAATGTATATTGTGACTAGAAAACATTAGAAAACATGTGGTTATTGCATAGATTGCATGCTGTGTTCAATTCAATACAAATATGATATGGCAACATCTAAATTTATAATATTAATACTACATTATGATACACTGGTATAGAGAGCACAGAACGTACTCTTGCTTGTAATATTGCTGGAGATTGGTGTGTTGAATGTTCTGCATCTGGGGTATCATAACTATCATTACTGCATGTTCTTGCAGGATAGTGGAGAATAAAATCTTGAGACCTCATCTAACGGTTCAGTAAGCAAGTTAGTAGTGCCTTCAAAATTAAGTATCTTGGGCTTTGCCCTCTGTGTATTTGGCAGAGGGATCGAGCTGGGAAAGATGTGCACTAGCTTAGGGTGATGAGGGATAATGATGGAAACATACAAGTGAGAAGAGTGTGTTAAGCAGAGGGAGGAAGAGAGTGAGATTGAGAGAGCAGTTTGGATGAGGTGGAGATGGTGAATCAGGAAGTGCAGAGGGTAAGCAGGAAGGAAGCAAGAACAGCAATGACCAGGATGAAGGGTGGAAAGGTTGAGGGCCAGATGAGATACCTGTGGAAGCATGGAGGTGATTAGGTGAGATGGCGGTGGAAGTTTGTAACCAGATTGTTCAACGGCATCTTGAAAAATGAGAGAATGTCTGCAGGGTGGACAAGAAGTACACTGGTACTGATTTTCAGGAATAAGGGAATTATTCATGGCTGGAGTCGTCGTCAAAGCTGATCAGCCACAGCATGAAGTTCTGGGAAAGAGTAGGTTAGGAATAGAGGTGATGATTAGTGTGCAGCGGTTTGGTTTCCTGCCGGGAAAGACACTACAGATTCAATGTTTGCTCTGAGGGTGTTGATGGAGAAGTTTAGAGGTCTGAAGGAGTTGCACTGTATCTTTGTGGACTTAGAGAAAGCATATGACAGGGTGCCTAGAGAGGAGTTGTGGTATTTTATGAGGAAGTCAGGAGTGGAAGAAAAGTAAGTAAGAGGGGTACAGGGTATGTACAGGAGGGCAGTGTGACAACAGTGAGGTCTAGAGTAGGAGTGACAGATGTACTTAAGCTGGAGGTAGGAATACATTAAGGATCAGCTCTGAGCTCTTTCTTGTTCACTATGGTGATGGACAGATTGACAGACAAGATCAGACAGGAGACCCCATGGACTATGTTGTTTGTGATCTGTAGGGAACAAGATGCCTGCATTCCAC